ACCACAAGCAGTTTACCAGAAGGTGGCCCTCCCAGCCTGACCTTCTGAGTATCTCAAGATTTCCAGCATCCATTGTATTTGGGTTTTACAAAGGTATTGTAAATAAGGTTTGACTCCACTTCGATTGACTTGTGCATGATGGCTGATGCTTGTTTTAGGCAAAAAACCAGGCTGCCCCAAAAATGAGCCTGAAAAATGTATAGTGCTTTAGACCTTGAGCTCTCTCATGTCCTTACCCCAACCCCCACACATCAGGCCTTGTTATCACATAGTCTGCTACTACACACAACCCATCGTTAGCTATTACCAGTCCTCATTACTAGCTGTTCACCCTCCTAACCGGATTGTTATCCACTCCTTTGTCCAACTGTTCTTTTATCTTTCTTTTTGGGCTCTATCCCCACCTATCATTTCCTCCAATCAGCCCATCAAGTCCACACAGACCCTCAGAGCATCCCACCCAGACCCACCCCTTATCCTATCCCTGCATTTCCCTATAAACAATATAGGGACACAAAAACAATTTTTAGCATGGCCAATCCACCTAATCTGCACATCTTTGGACTGTGGGAGGAAACCAGTTTCATGTTTTAAACCTCTATATTCACGTTTTGAGTTTTTACAGGATAAAAGTTAATAAACTTCAATGATAACTGCATTTTCATGCTGGTACCACAGTGGGATTTATTTAAAATAGAGATATATAAATAAAATCAAATTTTGCTGCTAGAATTTGTAAGATGACTGCAGAGAACATTGAAATATTATACACAGAACATTGTGGACAAAGCAATTAATGGTATGCAAATATTTTTAACAATTCTTGTTAGATAAGGATCGTGGTTACAAATGTACATATAAATTACGATTTATAAGTTGCTAGGTACATGAAATATGTTATTCCAAAGAAGATAACTGTCCAAGATATATAATGAATGTTAGATACAACATCATCAGTAGGTATGAAAGATCCTGAAATCCTGCTGAATTATTACTTTTGGAATAGGGAAAGGACACAGGCTTGGATTTTTGTTTATAGGAATCAATTGCTTAAACGATCATTTAAAATACATGTGTATAGTATGGTTCTATTTCCCACAACAGGCTCGAATGTGACCTGCTTAATGTAGCTTGCTTTGCATTTGTATGGTATATTGAACCAGAATAGCTTTTCAAATAGAGAAGATTATTAATAGTTCCAATTTTAATCTAGAATGTAAGCATTCATTTATCAATTTTAAGTATCAATATATTTTAATAGTCATAACACAGGTATACCTATGAGGTACATTTGTTCTAATTATACAGCACACAAATATTTGGAAACTACACCAAAGATCAGAAACAATTAAAGTTAAAATTAAAAGTGGAGTGCAGATTTTTCTGGTCTGCCTGTTTTTGTTTTACACCTGAAATAATCTTATAGCAAAAATATGTTCCTTTATACTTATATAAAACAGTGGATATTACACTTCCTGTTTTATGCAAACCATTATTCTGGAATTCAGTATTTTCAGATTGAGGCAATAAATACAAGAAAGAGTCACATGCAATTATAAAACTGAAGTTATGAGACGACTTGAGTACAAAAGTTGGTCCTGGAACTACTGGGCTTCTGTATTTTCAGAGGAATTCTTCAGCATCACAAATATTGTGGCCTTGGCAAAGAAGAACAAAATGTGATTGATGAAAACATTAATTCATTGCAATTGTACATGTTAAATGAGTGAATGCATTTATACCACTTTTGCACATTGCTCAGTACATATAGCCTCTTTTGGTTTAATCAGAGATGTTATTTTGTTACAAATTTCAAGTCCATCAAGCTTTGGCAGTTTAAAAGAAACATTAAAACTGTTAAGAGTCAATAAATATTAATGAAACTGAGAAACTGTTGACATGGTTCTGAACAATGAATAGAGATTCAATATATAGAAAATACTTTGGCCTACATCCTGTGGTATCTAGACAGTTGAAGAATTAAAGTGAGTTGAGAGATACATGTAGAATCCGTTGGAAATCCTGACACACACGTGCTGAAATTGTCTGGTAAGTGGAAGGTTCCAAAAGGCTGCTTTCCATTGCTTGGAGCCCTCTGTGAAAGTCTCCAATCTGAGTTCAATGTGTTGAAATAAAAAGCATAAGAAAAAGGAACAGGAGTAGGATATTCAGCCCCTCGAGCCTCTTCCATTATTTAACATTTGATTTGATTGTAACCTCAAAGCCACATTCCTGACTACTCTGATAACCTCACACCCTCTTGTTTAGCAAGAATTTATCTAACTCTGCCTTAAAAGATGTTGAAGGACTCTGCTTCCCCCACCTTTTCTGGAAAAGTGTTCCAAAGACTCTCAGTCCTCTAAGGAAAAAGTTGGCCACATCTCAATTCTAATTGGGCAGTCCCTGATTTTCAAACGGTTACTATGAGTTCTAGATTCTCCCATAAGAGGGGGCATCCTGTCCACATCTCTCTTGTCAAAGCCTCCAGGATCTTGTATATTTTAATCAAGTCACCCCTTACTCTTAAGACCAGCAGATACAAGACTTGTCTATTCAACAGTTCTTCATAAAACAATGTGCCTATTCCAGGTTTCAATCTGATAAATCTTGGAATTACTTCTAACTTATTTGCATCCTTCCTCCCAAATGTAGTCTCACCAGAGCCCTCTATAACTTAACCATAGCTTCCCTACTTTTTGTATTCAGGTCCACCTGTGATAAATGATAGCATTATAATATCTTTCTCACTTGGTGTAACTGCATATCAACCTTTTGTGATTCATCCACAAGGACAGATGGATCCCTCTGCATCTTGAAGCTCTGCACTTTCATCGTTTAGATAATGTTTCTTGCTTCCTGACAAAATTGACAGTTTTACATTTTACCTGCATCCGTTTGTCTTTGCCACTCACTGAAGACAGCTATTTCTTTTATAACCTCCTTGTGATCTCTTTCCAACTTACTTTCCTACCTATCTGTCTTTTGGCAACCAGATCTTTGGTCCCTTCATCCAAGTCATTTATATAAATAATTGAGATCCCAACAGCAGTTCCTGCAGTATACCACTCCTTGCATCCTCCCAATCTGAAAAAAGATTCATTTATGCCAACTTTATGCTTCTTGTTAGCCAGCCAATCATCATTATATGCCACTATCCTACCCCCAACATTTATGAACTTTTTCGTCTCATGAAAACCTTTGCTGTGGCACTTTATTAAATGCCTTCTGGAAGTTTAAGTATTGTATATTCACCAGTTTCTCACATCATGTTACTTCCTCCAAGAACCCCAATAGACAGATTAAACATGATTTCCCTTTCACAAGACTTGAGTTTGATATACAGGACACACTTGGATACTTACTCTGGAGATGTTCCACTGATTAATAACTGCTCTAACTCTGTGATTAGCCAGCTTAAATTAACTGAGCACCAAAACTGACCCCTTACGTTAGCACAACTGTACTGCCCATCTGTCCATCCCCTCACCCATTCATCTTCTCATCTATTCATCTCCTCATGCAATCACTCATTGAAAGATTTGAGATCTTTAAAAAGTTTCCTAAGTATGGCAGCTGCATCTGTGAGGATGGGGAGGCAGGAAGGCGGGGAGGGGAAAGGGAGGGAGAGAGAGCAGAAATGTCCTTATAGTTTTTTAGGACTAAAGGGATCAAAGCGCTTGGGGAAGGAGCAGGGTAGTGAGCAGGATGATCAACTGTGATCACATGAATGGCCCACTCTTATTTCCTATGTTTCTTTTGTTTGCTTTTGCTTGCATTTGGCAGTCTTCCTCATTGATAGTAAGTGACCCAGGATGAAAAGTCCCAGCTGGTTAATCACCAAAGGGCTGGCTTGCAGAGTCAATGTGTGCAGGACTATTGCTAAATGGAGGTCTGTGGTGTAGTTTAAAAGGAATTCAGTTTTGTTTTCTTTAATATTAAACTTTGTGACAGTTGTGACTTTGGACAAGCCTAAGAAAATAGAAGTGTGATGAATGCCTGATGTAATGCCTGTGGGTGCTCCAGACTATAGACCCCACTTGACAGTCAGCCATGTATCTTGCAAGATGGAGAAGGCCGAGACAACCACAGTTCAATTTACTCTATGTGGATTACATAAACTTAGCTGTAGAACACTCCACGTACCAGTTCATTTTTTAATAGCTTGTGATAATTTGTAAACTTCCTCCAGCTGTACAATCTGCTGATAACTATAGTTCACCACATTGTCATGTGCAGCCCCAGTTTCCAATACCTGCCATTTGTATCCCTGGCTATCTGGACCCAAAGATTTGGAATTCTCTGCCCAAATCTCTCAAGCTCTGTATCTCTCCACCTCCTTTATTGATGTTCCTAAAACCTACCTCTTTGACCAAGCACTTATTATCTGTTCTAATATTTTCTTCAGTGGGATACTTTGTCTAATGATGCACTTGTGAACACCTAATATGTTACTGTATTCGAGGTACTATATGTTGAACTCCCTTGTTAGTGCACAATATGACTCAAGTTTAATCAAGTAAAATAGTAATATGTACCAGCAGTGTACTGATAGGTTTGTTGCTACCAATCTAGATAAAATAGTCTAGTTATGTATTAACTATTGGTGGAGCTAAGTGAAGGAAGACTATCCATACCAATCCTTTCCTAACTATAATGAATTATGGAGTTGCAGGTGATTTTCTTCAGCAGAATTTGTTTTCAACTAATTAAAGTTCACTGTTGTACTCACTAGAATATCTTTTTAAAATAGGCTTATTTTCAAAATTAACCATTGCTCTAAGTTCAGTCTCAATTCAGCAGTTCAGTGGTAACTGCATCTAAATTGGCTTGAACTTCCTTAAGTAACAAAAGATTACTATCAATTGCAGTGTCACAGTTGTACAATTCAGGGTGGCCTGATTAACCCAATTCTTGCATGTTCTCTGCATGCATAGGGGATGGAATGTGGAAAATTTTTGTCATTACCTTTGAACTGTGAAGCTCACATCAGAGGTTATTTCTCATTTGCCCAGACCATGAGTTCTTGCCAACACGCAATCCACATAAACATCCCAGAACAGCTGAGCCAAATCCCAGAAGAGGAATCTGTGCTTGGGTATCTTAGGCTCCCTCAGGTATATCAGGAACTTCCAGAGGTCATGCGCACTTTCAACCGCGTTTATGTGCCTTGTTTCAACAAGAGCAAGGGATGACACATCAAAGCACTGATTGTCCACTTCACCTTGGGACAGCAAGTCTATCACTTTAAGAGGGGATCCGTGAATGCAGGCAAATAACAAGACAAGGAAAGCCATTTGCAGCCAATGGTGCCCAATCATACTGAAAATACAATAGCTGAGAGAAAGTTAAAATCATGGTTAAATCACTGCAAATTTATAACATAATGGAATTAGACTTTAAAAACCAATTCTTTTTTCACATTAGCTTCAAATGGTTAGAGACAAAAATCTGCAGATGCTGGAATCCGAGGTAGACAAACAGGAGAACACAGCAGGCCAGGCAGCATCCAGAGGAAAGGAGCAGTCAACATTTCGGGTATTATGCTTCTTTTGCCTCCTGGTTCATTTTGTTGAGTTTCAAAATCACACTGCAGAAGGGGACCATTGAACCTATTATGCCTGTGGGGGCATTCTGAAAAAATACTAGAATATAGAACAGTACAGTACAGGCCCTTTGGCCCACGATGTTCTGCCGATTTATTATCCTATTCTAATATCAAACTACCCTGCATACCCTACGTTTTACTATCATCCATGTGCCTATCCAAGAGTCACTTAAATGTCCCTAATGTAACTGACTCCACTACCACCGCCGGCAGCGCATTCCACACGCCCACCACTCCCCCCTGTGTAAAGGACCCACTTCTGACATCTCCCCTATAACTTCCTCCAATCACCTTAAAATTATGCCCCGTCTTAATAGTCATTTCCGCCCTGGAAAAATGTCTCTGACTATCCACTCTATCTATGCCTCTCATCATCTTGTACACCTCTATCAAGTCACCTGTCATCCTTCTTTGCTCCAATGAGAAAAGCCCAAGCTTCCTCAACGTTTCCTCATAAGACCTGCCCTCCAGTCCAGGCAGCATCCTGGTAAATGTCCTCTGCACCCTCTCTAAAGCTTCCACATCCTTCCTATAATGAGGCGACCAGAACTGAACACAATATTCCAAGTGTGGTCTAACCAGAGTTTTATAGAGCTGCAGCATAACCTCATGGCTCTTAAACTCGATTCCCATGCCAATGAAAGCCAACACACCATGCACCTTCTTAACAACCCTTTCAACTTGGGTGGCAACTTTGAGGGATCTATGGATGTGGACCCCAAGATCCCTCTGTTCCTCCACACTGCCAAGAATCCTGCCATTAATCCTGTATTCTGCATTCAAATTTGACCTTCCAAAATGAATCACTTCACACTTTTCCAGGCTGAATTCTATCTGCCACTTCTTTGCCCAGCTCTGCATCCTGTCAATGTCCTGTTGCAACCTACAGCAGCCCTCCACGCTGTCCACAACTCCACCAACCTTCGTGTCTTCAGCAAACTTACTAACCCATCCTTCTATTTCCTCATCCAAGTCATGTATAAAGATCACAAAGAGCAGAGGTCCCAGAGCAGATCCCTGTGGAACACCACTGGTCACCGAGCTCCAGGCTGAATACTTACCGTCTACTACCACCCTCTGTCTTCTATTGGACAGCCAATTCTGTATCCACAATCCTGTACTAATTAGTGTCATTCCATTGCCCTTGCTATATATAAAAAAATTCTTAATGTTTGGAATTTTATCTTATCAGACAATTGATATTTGACAAAATCCTGTATGCGCAGAATCCTTGCCATTTCCTCAGCTTGGATCAAAAGGACACAATGAGATTGGCTTCTCCCTGCTAGTAATATTATAAACCCAGTCAGAGAATTCAATAGTGACTGACAGCACTTCCTTATCCAGATAATGCTGAGTAAATTATTTAGATTAAAATTTGTATTGAGACCTTTGCTTCATTTTAATGATAGCATTTCCAGTATCAAATAGTGCAAGCCAGCAGAAATCTATGGAGTGGACTAATGATTCTCAATATCACCGAATTTAAAATAAAACTGAAAAGAAGATCATGGTTTCACACAATTTTTTTTGAAGTCTTCATTTCATTTTTGAACTGCATTATTTTCAACGCCACTGGCAGAGATTTGCAAAATAATGGCTAGAAGTACAGCAAAACCACATAACTCCCTGCTACTTGTTTAACAGTCTTAAAGCTATTTATGCTTGAACTCAGCAAAAATACTGAAAATACGTCTGTTGAAACTTAAAACATTTCTCAGACTTTAATACATAGATCTGTCGTTCATATCATTAATAAGTGAAAATTACCTTACCTTTACAACAGTCTTTGGTTTGTCCTAGTCTCTCTTTCTCTGGGTTGCTTAGTTTTATACCCTTGCTTTTTATTAAGAGATGCAGTTTTACTTTGCGTCATGAGTGCACTTGTGATAGTCATCCACTTGATCGTTATCCTATGAGCGATGAATACTGAAAACCTCCGTCAAAATGAATTAAAACTGAACAAATCCACTTCAAATACTTTGCTGTGCACTCCAATTATAATTTAGCTTGGCTCTGTGAACAATAGTTATTGTACTATTTGTCATTCAACTTCTTTCAATACTTTCTTAAATGGAATATATTTTTAATCCTAGTCAAAAAAAAAAAAACTTACTTGCATTAGCCATCTATTTTCTGATCAAATTGTGAATGATCTAGTGCCACCAGGATGTGCTTGGAATACTATCAACGGTAGAGCTAGGGATCTCCAGATACCTTCTGAGAGGCATCGCAGGCACAATAATGTACAAACTTTGATTTGAAAGAAACCAGATCTATTCCCTGAAGCTGGAAGACACAGCATAACACAGCCTTGCTGCTTACCCTGAACACATCAGTGTTTTACTCAGCAATCAAAATGTTCTCATTGGGCTTTATACTCTTGTGAAGGGAGGGAGTAACTTCCATTTGTCAGTTACTCTGTCTTATACATTCAGTGTTAGATTGAGCTTCTTCTTGTGTACTGGACTCTCTGAGCCACATTAAGAATTCTTAGAGCTCTGAGAAACGGGAACATTTACCCCACCCACTCCCTCTGCTTCACAAAGTTTCCAGCCACATTCAATCTATTAAAACACTTCAGTAGATTTAGTGTCCACACTTGCCAAACTGGAAGCTTGTGGGAACAGCACTATCTGTTATCATGGTCATTCCTGTGCTGTTTTTATTAAATATTGTTTTCAGGGATGAAGCCTGAACTGTACGCTGTGAAGGAGACACTAGAATCAGTCACCCTGGTCAGAGACTGTGACCATGACTTTCTGCAACTGGGAGATGCCAAAATACAGTCACAACAAGGGCTGTATATAGTAGAAAGGCTGGGTGGTCCAATCAGCAACTTAAAATACAGTTATCTGGCAGCACTGATTTAGATGTTGTTGTTGTGTTCATGGAACTCCTAATCAGTAACCCATTGTTTATATGTGGCTATACACAAACCTGACAGGAGGTATTTCTGAGATAACAGGATGTAGAGCTGGATGAACACAGCAGGCCAAGCAGCATTAGAGGAGCAGGAAAGTTGACGCTTCGAGTCTGAACCCTGAAGAAGGATCCAGACCCGAAACGTCAGCTTTCCTGCTCCTCTGATGCTGCTTGGCCTGCTGTGTTCATCCAGCTCTACACCTTGTTATCTCAGATTCTCCAGCATCAGCAGTTCCTACTATCTCTGAAGGAGGTATTACGGAGGTCTGTCCCTGAAAGTTTAGTTTTGTTTCCTGACACTAAATGGATCTTTATTTCACTGACTGCTGGTGTGTTATTTATGCAAATATCAATAATATTACCAATGTGCACACTTTCACAGTTGAACTCACATTGCAGCCCAATTAGAAATTTCTGAGATTGAGCATATAATTCAAACTAGGCTGATGCTGTATACTGAAGGATTTGGAGATGCTGCTCATTAGTAAGAGGCTAATCTTAAAGACTACCTACTCACATGGATGAAATAGATCCCATAGTGTTAGTTGGAGAATGAAAATTCCATCATGTATTGGTGGAAATTTCTCTGACAAACATTACTTAATACATATTATCAAATCATTCATTTGGAATGTGAAAACTTCAGTTTGCTTGATAGCACCAACTAATTTGACAGTCTTTGATGTCAGACTGCAAATACAAAAGGTTGTTTTTAGAAGGGATTCAATGTTTGAAGGAAATGTTAGGCCCTTTCATTCCTGGGTCTTGTGAGCTAATGCAAGAAAAATGGAAAAAATGATCACCCACGTATCTGATTTTCGGTTTGAGGGGACAGGCTGGATTGGCACTTGAACTGGATGAGCTAGGAACAGCCTTACAGGTGGCAGGTTGGGTGGAAAACCTAACTCGGAGTTTCAGCATTGTGGAGAAAATTTAAACGTTGGCATGGAAACATAAAACAACTATTCTGCACCCCACCTCACATCCCCAAACATTCTCCATCCAAGCCTTTCTACACCCTTCTATCAATTCCCGTGGCCCTTCATACATCCTGTATCAGCTGATGCCCAGTTGGCTATCCCTGAACCTTTTTAGTCACCTGTATCCCATGACCTCAGTCATCACCATGACCCTTTATAGTCCCAATGCCAACTCATGCCAATCTACACCGCTCACCTACTACCAACATTTCCTCTAATTTTCTTCCTATGGTGTGGACCTCTGAAGTCCATGTGTGGCAAAGACTTCCAAAAGTGGAACTCATGTATTTGCAGAGATAGTAGGAACTGCAGATGCTGGAAAATCTGAGATAACAAGATGTAGAGCTGGATGAACACAGCAGGCCAAGCAGCATCAGAGGAGCAGGAAAGCTGATGTTTCGGGCCTAGACCCTCCTTCAGAAAATTTAACCTGGTATAATCTCTGGATTCCAGACTGCAAGCACTCCAAAATCCAATTTCAGTGGAGGTGGCTAGCTGTCTTTGGGAATTACACGTGTGGCCAATACCCATTCCATCCCCTTGTAAATTGGAAATAATGGATTATGAGGTAGGATTTGGGATTAGCTATTTCTGGCATTTTCAGCATGCCAGAGCCACTCTTTGTTTCATTGTGGCGAAACACTAGGCTTTTATTTTTATCAGGATTAAGTAATTGAAGGAAATATTTATTTTTATAAAGAATTAAGTAGTTGAGTATTGTTTCTTGTTCAGTATTTATTGTCCAGTCTAATTGCCTGGGAGAAGATGGTAGTGAGCTGCTTTCGTGAACGTCTGTGGGCCATGGGGAA